AAAGCTGACGGTGCGGAGGGGTGACCAATCGCATTTTCGCACTCTGTTGACAGATGATGCGGTTGACTTAGCGGAAAAAACAGGCGACTGCACCAGCCGGCAGCGCCAGACCCTACTAGGCCCCAAGGACGCGCTTTGAGATAGGTGACATCGGCAACTGATTGGCTCAAAGTGACCAATAAATGATACAACCGTTATCTATAAGCTGTCTTGGCGGGCGGGCGGTCGCTCGAATGGGTACAAAATTCCAAACGAAAAAACGCTCTTTCTTGATGCTCGTCGTTGGCTCCGCATCACAATTAGGTGTTTTCGAGCATTTGTGATTTAAAAAGTGGCGCGACGGCTTGTCGTCACATGTAGGAAAAAAGAAGAACGGACGCGAACAACAAAGTACGCCGCCAGGCCGCTGATCCCTCGCCGATTGGGTCACAGTCCTGCTGGAGACAGGACGGCGCGTCCAGAGTCTTCTTCGGGCAGAAATGGAAACCCCTTGATCAGACAAAAGTCTAGGATATGCGGTGAGGCCATATAGCCTGTATGAAAAGTGGAGCTTTAACAACTGCAATGGCACGCATAAAGTGCGAGCAAGCTGTCAGCGGAATCTGCAGGCTAGGTATGTTCTAATTATTTTCAAATATTTCAAATGATTGTCAATGTAAACAGGCGGGTAATATGACTTTGTGTTGTGGTTCACAAAAGTGCAGCTCTGAAATGTTAGATCCCCGCTCAAGTGAAATCAACTAAGCATTAGATGAATCCTTGGCGAAAATGAGTCGGTCAAAAACAAGCTAAGATCCAAGCAGCCTTGAATAGACGCAGACACGACCGTTAGAAGGAGTCTACAAAAGTGGCGGTGGTGTGTGCTGAATTCTGAGATTGCAACAACACGAGGATGTTCACAAGCTCCAGGTAGTCTAAGCGTCACGAGAAAAGGACTGCCAGCACTGATTGAAACCACAAACGAGTAATTCTCAAGGCAGTCTTGATGAGGTTGTTTTGCAAAGTCAACTGACACAACTGTACAGTAGATGTGCTAACTCATGAAATGCCGAGGTCAAAATTATAGTGGAAAATGTAGCGTATTTTAGGTGTCGTTATTTGTGTTTATTTAGTTGAAATAAGGACGAAAAGACCGTTTTCTGAAGGAAAGTTTGATACGGATCTGTATATTAAATAGAAAACGGGCCGGATTTAGGCGAAATCGGAGGATTCCTGATATTCAAGCAGTTTCCTACGCTATTAAAGCTTTCGGATGGAAATTCTTTGTGTTACCTTATTAATCTGTTTAAGAAGATTAATAAAAGGACGAAATTTTTTAATAAACTGTCGAACAAAAAGAAAAAATTAAATTTCAATATCAACAAAATCAGGGAAATGCAGATAAATTATTTATTATTGTGTTCAGGAAATAACGTGCGATTCTTTATCTAAAAATTCTATTTACAAATTCGTAAAGTTTTATGTTTCAAAATACCGAAATAAAAAAGTTTATCAGTGTGATTGTTTTACCAGACTGAAAATGCGTGTCGTAAACGAATATATATTGAGTTCGCGCGACATGCCGTCACTTTGCTCTGCCACGCCAAACGATAACTATGTCTAAACAATACTTATCCGAAGTTGACTTCCAGCGCATTCGAAAATTAGCGGCGGAGGGAATCCCGCGTGAGTCGTTAGCTAGTATTTTCAATATTAGCAAGGTCAATCTGTGGCGCATTATTAATGATAAAACTGTTCCTAGAAATAAGATAGGGGGACCAAAACGGTCCACAAGTAAGCAAGACGACGATTTTATTCGTCGTACATTAAAAAAGTTTCATTACATGCCCATTGAGACCATTCAGCGGGAACATCTGCCGATGTTTTCTATGAACATCATTAGAAAAAGGATGAAGGAATTTGAACTGCAGCGGCGGAAGGCCATGATTAAGCCATATTTAAGTAGAAAACTAATTAGAGAACGGCTTTTATTTGCTAAGAATTATATTGATTACAGATCTTCATTTTGGAAGAGCATTTTCTTCTGCGATGAGGTTCTATTTTTAGACAAGCCTACGAAATCGCTCCAAACCGTCATATGTGGAAAGAACTTCCCAAGAGAACACACTACACCGACGGCAACATCCAAGAACTGTCGGCGGATGATGGTTTGGATGGTGATTAAATTCGGTGAGCGGCCTGTCTGGCGGTCAACATCCGACACCATCAACAGCAAGGTGTTCATTGCAATTGTCAAGGACGCTTTCGGCTACAACGGCATAAGTCGGCGCCGAATGGATACTGTAATTTTGCAGGACAATGCACCTGTCCACCGCTCTAAAGAGGTACGAATTTGATGCCGCTTGCAAATATAATCTAACATTTTAGACAACAACCACGCTCTCCGCAATTGGCCTCCAATCCATTTTCATCCCGGCCAACAGTCCCGATTGGAATAGTCAAAAGAAATTGGCACAAAGCTAAGAAGACTCTTTCAATGCAGGAAAAATTGGATTTCATACTCAATAATTACATTTTACAATCCACCATAGATAACCTTGTCATGTCTATGTCGGACGGACTTTCTGCTGTTATTAATTCGAATGGACAATCTACAAAGTACTAATTTTTTGTATCTGTATCTGTCCTTAATTATTTTTGACCTTTTATACGCCCTCCTCCTTAATACGTCCTCATACGTAGCCTTTATTAACTTGGTTGTAATATAGGCGTTTCTCGAAAATGTGACTTTTGTCGAAAATTATTTAATTTTTATCTCAGTAAATAATATTTTCTTAACCAAACTTTGCTTTATTTCTTTGACACATCGTTTATTTTCCGCTATCAGACTTTGGGAGCCGTAGTGTTTACCGATTCTGCGTTAAAGTCGTTAACCTGTGTTAATTCGTGACATTTCATGAGTTAGCACAGGTACTGTACCACTTAAGGAGGCCTGCAGAAGCCTGGCAGCATGAACGCGACCCCGTAAAACAATTACTTGCATGTCGTGTAGAGCACCCTTCTATCTAGTGGGATTAACTGCAATTAAAAGTTGCAGGCAGACCTTACAACTAGACTAGAGAAAATATCCTTTAGCCGGGAGGGGGGGGGAAGTAGTCGGCCTCCCAGCTGGAAGGACGTCGGACCCATTCTCGCCGACCTGAGGAGGCGCTCTCGGATGAATTTAGACATCTTTTAATGGCCGTTCGTGGTTCTAAGTATGCCTCGGCGGCCCGTAGTTGACCAAAAGTGAGACTCGGTGCAGCCTAGCTTATGGGGACGACAGTAAAAATCAGCAAAACACAATAAATATGCTATCTCATGAAATGTAAAACGAAATCCCGAAACAATTTTGTATTTCAAATAGATTACTTTAGTAATGTTGCCATATTGCTTATATTGTCGCATAATCCCAAGATATTCCAGTTAAACCAGGATGCTGGCTTTCGAACGAGCTTCTTATCAACCGCTTGCATAAACTGCGTTCCATAAGCGATGACTGCTTAACTGGCATGAATTTTTACCACCGATTTTCGATGTCCTTATAAATTGATATTTTACAGAAAAATGCATTAAAAATGTTTTGGGTCATTTGATAGCAAATTAAGCCTTCTTCAGATTTTATACTTGAAGAAGGAGAATTTTTCAGTTTTACAAAACTTTCTCAATTCCCGAATAATTTTGAACCCGACCTGCTGTTCACGGTTTTCCAAACTACAAGCTGTATGCTTTTCGTGCAGGGAAAACCATGCATTTCTGCATGTTATTATAAAAGGGACATATAGGGCTCATAAAATTTTGTAATGGATGTGGGCCACGCTATTCACCTCCCAACCAGCATTGCTGTACTACTAGACATTTCACGATCTGAAAAATCACATTATTAGAAACCTTTCTAAAACCGAAATATACCCTTTCTTTGGGCATAAAATTTAAAGAAGACATAGTTAGCCACCAAATGAGTGAGAGGAATAATGTTTTTGTGGACGTTTGTAAAAAAATATGTCGAAAATCGGTGGGAAGAACTCATGCTACCTACGTAGCAATTTTATTCAGAATGTGGTTCACGCAGGCGGTCGATAGGAGGCTCGTTTAAAAGCCGGCATCCCGACATGACTGGAATATATTGGTACTATTCCGTGCGATAACTGATATTAAAGCCCGGCTTAAGCAATCTTTTCGAAATGAAAACTCATTTCCGAACCGCGGTTAACATTTCACGAGTTAGCGCATCTGCAGATTAAAATATCGCGACAAAACAGGCTGTGGCGTCGGAAGGAGAAGGCGTCTATTCTACCGACTGTAGCGCACCCTTTTGTATGCAGCTCTCGACCTCTTGGTGGCGATTAAAGGCACCAACACCGATCACAAGTGCTAGTCGTCATTGGCTCCCTTTTGCGTCCAAGTCGCCTTCAAGAACAGTGTGAGATGTAGGGCTTCTGAAGCGTGCTCAATTCTACAAAAATTGGCAGTCTACACGGCCGCTCCCTGTAAGCGACTAGACGCCTGAGGTTCGAAGTCACACAGTCCGTACCTGAGTGAGCTCAAGGCAGAAGTGCAGGGCGGTCTTCTAAATTAGCATTTAAGGCCTCGCGTAAGGGGTAAGGCTAAAAAGACAAGATGCCTGGAGAGGAAGGCTACGCATGAGTGGTGACAGTGTTATGACAGTCTTCTTTGAAAGACGGGAGCGGGATGGAGGCTAATCAATGGCAGACGGCCTGCGTGGGTGTCAGAGTTACGCTATGATAGTTTTCAGTCAATAGAATCGAAGAGACGAGTCCCAGGAAGCAGTCTTGAAGAAGGAGACACGATCGCCGGGACAAGAGTTTTATTAAACTGGCGTTTCGGATTACTGCTCGAACCCATCATCAGAGACAAAAGCAGATACGGGTGGTTCATGCATAAGGGTCTGCAGCATTTATAGGATGCAGTCAGTCGCCATGCTACCCCATACCTATGAATATTCACGGCGTCAGTTAATGGAACTGAAAGACCCGCTGCCACGGCAAGAAACGTCTGGAGTCGTTTATCGGATTTGGTGCAGTTGGGGACAAAGCAACTACGTCGAAGAAACCGGAAGACAGCTCCGAGCGCGAATGGCCGAACACGCTGCAGCGGTGCGGAGAAATGACGCCAGTTCTCAAGTTGCGGCTCATTCGACAAGATCCGGCCACACATTAAAATTTGACGAGGTCGAAACTCTCGCAAGAGGTGACAACCGCGTGAGCCGCGAGCTGCTTGAGTCATGGTTTGCTGCCCCCCAGTCCATTAGGCAGTGCAATGATCTTCCCCTTCCATACTCGGTGTTGAGACTTCGCCTATATGGAGTATTTAGCCACGCGGGAAGCGCACAGGTGAACACTTCCGAACGCCAGGGTCGGTGCGTCAGATGGTCGAGCAGTCATCACGCCAACATCCAACGCACGTGATGAGATTGCAGCAATTAACGACGCAAATATCGGCCATCGCACCACGTGCAACGATCCCTGATGAAGGGTGGAGCCGTGAACGTTCATAGGCATGCGGTAGCATGGCGACTGCGTCCTATAAATACTGCAGCCCCTTATGCATGAACCACCCGTATCTGCTTTCGTCTCGGATGATAGGTTCCAGCAGGAATCCGAAACGTCAGGCTAATAAAGCCTTGTTCCAGCGATCGTGTCTTCTTCTTCAAGTTTTCAGTCAAATAACGTTAAAACGGTTAATTTTAAAATAACCGCCTGCAGATCGGTGTGGCGGCCGATTAAACCTATCCCACTTTCAGCCTTTTTGAAATAAGTCTCACTGGCGACAAGAGCTGCGGCTGCGGCACAACCTGCTCGATTGTCTTCCGACTTACTGGGGGTAGGAAGGAAAACGTATAGAGAACGGGGGGATTTCATATCCAGATGAACCATAAGGCGGGAACCTCCACATCTGTCCCAAGACGCCTCATTGACAATTCAGTTTGACAACTTACTAGACGAAAACATTCGTATGTGGGACGTCATCTAACGCTGTGCAAGCCAGTGCATATGGCAGCTACTAAGAATGACATCACCCCTTTAGCCTCAAGCTTTGGTGACCTACAGTCTGTGATTTCATGAGTGAATGAAGTCACTAACTTGGTTGGTTTATCTATAAACGCTGAGAACAAGGCAGAAAACGAGATAAATGGCTTTTAACTTAAAGAAGTACACCGTTTCAAACAATGCGGGGCGAGGTTGTTGTTGAATGGACAGAGTAAGGAGGGCATCGTATCTCGAATCGATGCTGTTTACAGTTTTTACAAGCCTTAGGAAAGGTACATGGAACTAGCGCGACAGCTCCATCGCCACATAGATCCGCGTATACCGTGAACTTGTGGCAGATGAGCGAAATCTGGCGGTTTTTGGCCCTTGTTGTCCGAGGACCATGAGACAGCCCGCACTCGCAGTGACGAAGGACAGTTAATACGGTTCTCGCAAGTTCATTTTCGCCCGTCCCATGAGCTCGGTATTGCTGCTTTTGGTCCCACGCCATCGTCCTCCTGGATGTGACGCAGGGGAGGTCAATGCAAAACCCGACCCCACACGGTCCATCAAGACATGGAAGTGATTCCTGGAACTTCTATATTCGGCAATTGCCGCTAGACGAAAGGATGAGTCGGACTATTCGGCCCGCTAAAGAAGGTCGTCACGCGTGGGGAGATGCAATTCGCGACATAGCCGAGGAGGCTGAATCAGGCATGATCGCAGCTGCATCAATTCATGACCGTGTCGGCAGACATACGTGATGAGTCCAAAGCATTTGAATTGTGGGAGGCATTCCGGTGCCCAATTGCCCAGGTGAGTTGTCATTTTTACCTTCAACTAAGCATTCCTTGAGTGTAGAAGCCGCAGATCTAACTCTTCGCTGTAATACAGACACCATGACGATCCAAGGAATGTCGGCAACCCTTTCGTGTTGTATCAGTCAAATAATCAATCCAGGAAGGCAGTTTATAAAACATTAGGGAGAAGTCATTGCGTGGACTTGTTTAGGCAGGCTGACAGTCGATTCGACTTTGCCCCTTCTTCAAACCATTTCCTGTTGAGTCGACGCCATATCGTGTGAAATAGTTGCTCTTTCATTTCCCCAGAAACTAACTGTTAACTTGGCGTGGCTCAGTCTGAACTAAGGTCTATGGGCGTTGACCGAGATTTGACGCATGAACACTTGGGCCGATGTCCGTCGGTCAAAGCGGGATAACCGCATAATATTCATTAGCTGTTGACAGACAGCTAGTAGTATATATAAGGTGACGGGATATCAAACTAACAGAGCAGGTGCTACCTAGAAGCCCGCACACGCGTGTTCTGCCGATATTCTGTCGCTGGATGGCGAACTTACTAATCAGCACCAACAATGAGGAGACGTCCGCGAAAGCCGAGTTCGCAGCGGAGGCGACCTGGTGGTAATCGGCAAGCGCCTTCACCTGCCGAGAGATGTGGGCAAAAAGCAGTGAACAGCGAGAATGCGAGTGTAGCGCACCTCGGAACTGAATGAGTTGCCTAATTGGACTGAAGTCGCTTCCACGGGGATCGGTATAACCATGCGTCAGTGAAGATGTCGTATGCCCCCTCTTGCAATCGCTGGACCCCTTTATCTACCCCCCTCCCTCCTCCCCAACGACACTCGCAAAAGCGCCCGCTCCTCTCTTCACGGAACCCCCTGCAGTCGCTCGCAGCGCTGCACTCACCGCCGGAAATGTCGGAACAACCCCCACATTTCCGACATCAGTCGTAAGCGTAACACTATCCTACCTAGTAATGTTGTACCCCCTCCTTATGATTCTATATATCTTTCGTAACACAAACTGCATGTGCTTCAAACTCTTTTCCTACTATATTCATGCATGTGTTTTTGTGGTGCTTGACGAATCAGTTCATCGCTTATGTAGCCGGGAAACAATCCTGATCGAGTGTGACGTCCTCAACGTCGGGCGAAGGATGCCTTTCCATTGTACGCCACCTCAAACTGTGCTTACGAATTCGCATGCACTTGTGGATGCAGGTACATTAGACGGACACAGAGGACACCGGCCATTTCTATCCCATTTCTATCATATCTAGATAGCGAGTCACTCTGTAGACCCCCAAACAGCCTTTCGAATACTTATTCGGGGAAAAACAACTGGGACATTGGGCTACATACGGCCTACGTAGGACGCGAGAAACCCGGCCTGTCCAAACAGCTGGACTACGTGGTCAACCTCAATTTCACCCAGCCTTATGATCTATACATTCTCATTTTGAGCATTAGCGTTACCCTTTTCCTTCTCAATAGTACTTTTTGAGTTAGCATTTTCAATGAATGGACTGTGTGCATTGAACAGTGAGTTCGCTCTTCCTCTTGTGCACATTCAAGTAGCTATATGCTTCTTACTCGTTATCTGTCTCATGCGGCAACGAATTGCGAACTGTATTGGTCTGTCCATTTTACTGTTTAAATCTTGTTTAAATCCAAACCGAGGTAAAAGTGCGTCAGATAATGGAATTATGTTTGGCCTGAAGAAATGCAGCATCTAAATACACTTAAGGCCAGCTGTCAGTGGCCGGAGTAAAGATCCTAACCACCGGCAACGATAATCAATTCAAGTGGTCGTGTCTGGAGTAAAAACGAAAATTTTCCGGACCGAAACGACGGCGTGCAAATTTTTTGCATACCATCGCTTGATTTTGGTCGCCGTGCTCTCCTATAAGCATACAGTGCTTGCTATCAAAAGGATGAGGCAAGTCGTAGCTGGTCAGTTCTAAATTCGTAGTAACATCCGAGGGATATGATCGGAGTTTGCCCATAAGAGATGTGGGCACAATGGCAAGAAAGAGTAGGAAGGCTAAAAATTGGGTCTCCACCAATTGGCAAAAAGGACAAGTATTCACTAGCTTCCTCAAAATACTCACAAACTGTCGCTTCTTGTCGGACTCCAACTTCGTCACGGCATGCCTACTCTCCTCAATCTTCTTCTCGTCATATACGAAATCTCGTGGAAGGAATCTGCAGAGTTCCGAAATCATACACAATGCAGACTTACTTCTTTTCGCGAGCTCTTAACGTGAAATCGTTGACCATCTTCTGGAAGAGGGTAACAGTCCACAGACCGTTCTCTTGATCTTCATAAATTAGTCTACATAGGAGAATGCAAACAAAGGCGGGGACACTCACTCGGAAGATCTCGGAACAACCATATCCGACAGGGTTTCATAGCTGGCCTTCCACTCGTTATACAACGGTCTGTAAGGGGGGGACGTAGGTTAGGAGAAGGCAGAGAGCCCGTGACTTACTTTGGCACCACGACTACCATTGTGGTGAGGTACTCGGAGCCCAGTATGAATTGTTGCTTCTTCACAATATCAGCCAGATTCCTCGTCAGCAGACTACCACTACGGTGAAAAGTTAAGTCGTGCGGAGAAAAACACTCACGTCTGTTTTCTCTCTATTGACTGCAGGGTGCCTTTGATACTGTTGTAGGCTGTCGACTTGGTTCGGAGATCCGTCTCAATTCTAGTAACTTGCTAGGATGCAAAAGGGCTAAATACAACACACACAAAAACATTACTTCCGATAGAATATCGTGAAGCGCTCGTAGCGTCTGTTTTGTGGGGTATTTGGCACAATCCCACTGAAACTTTGTCACGTAGACATTAGGTGGCACTTTTGAGCGGATGCATAAAGGGGAAGATGTATCCTACCTCCACCAACGTTCAAATTGTCCTCCAACTTGTGACGCTGTTCCTCCAAGACCTCGCCCATGTACTGAACCAATTTTCGAGTAACGCTGAGCAGGAATGAAAAACAAGGGAGGATGGTTTTAAAAAGGCATGAAGAAAAACAAAAGTAACAGGTATGAGCTGGCCAAGTCCTTGAAGTCCACCCGCTCAGTCGCACAGTCCCTTTGCTGGTCAAACTAAGAAAGCACGGTCACGACGGTATAGTTGAAGGGGAACAGTGGCCAAAGGCGGTTAGCATACTTTGCTGTCCTCTGCTCAAGAAACAATGCTACACTTAGATGATTGTCTTATCAGTTGTACTGACAGCCCGTTGTACGATGTTTCACAATGAAGGTGTGTATGCCAGAGTAATGGATTCTTATTTACATGTAGAATTACTGGCGGAAATCGCCCACTTAAACAAGAGGGATAACTGGTAATAAACAGACGGACGCAAGGCATATTGGCACTTCGCCCGACTTTACTTTCACCATCGTAGTGTACAGCAACTACCCATTGTGGCGTGAGAACGCTGCCGTACAAGTTACCGTTCTAGCCTAATGCGATGATGTTTCCGAAAATTCTGATCCAGGTCCCTTTGCTTAGCGGATGGGATTTCAAGTACAGGAGAAAATGACTAAACGATCGTGGCATTTACAGTCGAATTAAAACCAAATTATAGGTGGTGAGATCCCTGACTTAAGGCCGCCCTGATTACAACGTTGACGAGTGATGAAGACAAGCTGAAGCAAACTTGCAAGAAGGCATAAACAGCATAAACCCTCAAGGTAGGCAGGTGCCAAAAGGTGCCTGTCCAAAGGAGTCAGAACTTGCACGACCTGCAAACCCAGTTCTTTATCAGACTCTGTTAACACTCCAGAAGTGGCAAACGTCAACTGATAGCCTGTCCACCACATGAGACAGTTTATTGCACCACGAAGTCATAATGCCAGGACAACAAACCCTTGGCTAAATGGTAGTGTCACATTCAATGACCAGGGAGCTTGTGTCCGAATTCCAGGTGATTCACACCAGGGGTTGGATAAAACTGGCTGATAACGGCTAATAAGTCAGAAGTGGTCATTCAGGTCCCCCTTGTCTTTGTCTTTATTGCACTTAAGCATTCGGGGAATATGCATACAAATGACGAGGAAGAACTACGCCAATAAAATTGCGGGGAAGAACGCGCGCCTCGGTGAAAACAAAAGACTTTTACCCTCGAAAAAACTTAGTACACAGAGTGACAGCATAACAAGCACCTGCTTCACGCCAATCATACGCCCCGCATTTCGCGGCCACTGACTCGGGCCTAGGCGAGCACAAAGACCCACATGTAGGACAAGCGGAGAGTAAACGTGGTTCAGAAACCCAAAATTGGCACAATTAAGTGGTGGCTCTGGTCCTTTTGATGTGAACAACCCGGCGGCATAGCTTGGACAAAAAGCGCAACCACAAACATGCAAAGTTGGATATGGTGTTCCGCTTCGTAGATTCCCTAAAGTGGCAATTTAGACCAATATATGATGATATAGAGTATAGAATCACAGAACATCGGGGGGTGCAATGGCGGAGGATGCTCTACGACCGCACTTTTAGGGGAAGTATACGTGCTAGTATGCAAATGCCGCGAGACAAATCGTGGGTGAGTACGAGCACGTAAATGCGCAGCGGGTTCACCATGGGCGATATTTGGTAAAAACGAACAACATAAGTATGACAGACAAATAAAAATGCCATAATATTGTTTTAATCATCTGACATGAAGAGGGTCGGTAATTGTTCCTAGCTACCAAAAGACAAGTCTAGGTGCCCTGCCAGAATTTGAAGCACAAGAAGGGAGGGTCATGACAATTAGAGTAAAACACAAATACCTATATGTTCCTTCTCACTGGATACAAGTAAGTAAAGCCTTTAACACAGCGAACAACTGTCAATAAAATGCTACAAAGGCTACAAGAGACCGATTATCACAAGTCTAACACAACTGTTACCAATAAGCAGAGCTGCGAAAACATTGCGATAGCAGGGGCTACGTAGGTTCGAGAAGGTTACTATAAAAATAAATAGGACAATGACAAACTATCAAAGATAGCTCAGAATGGTGAATTCTGATACTACACAAGCCGAGTATTTGGACTAAGCTAGATGAGTGTAGACGCCCTTAGAAAGAAAATATGTAAAGACTATGATGAAAGAGGTTATGTACGAAGGTGAGATATTAAGTTAGGATTACCTTTCGGCAAATGAATCTAGTTTGGCCAATTCCTCAGACAGGCCGACCAAAACATCCAAGGTTCCAACCTACAAGAAGTAGGAAAAATCAGACGTGTACCTTTAAAACAGGGATGGAAAATCTAGTCATAGCTTGTTGGCCAGTAGCTAGTAGCCCCGAATACTTTGAAATGTGGCTAACTAGTCTAGAGTATGCGTTATCAGGGTTTCCCTCAGCGGGGACAGAAATTATCAAAAATTGAGACATCTTTGAGGTCTGCACACCACTTTCGTGTTAACAGTCAACTTTAAAGCGTAGATAAACAAGCTTTAATTTGGGACAATGTGATTCCGCCGCTTGCAAACGCCCACGGATTACTCGGGGATTCGAACAGCGGAAATTCTCGTCGTCTCTCGGTTTGAACTTGTTCCACCAGGAAGCCTAAGCTGAAAACTTCAGTTTCCACCATAAATTTAGACATGAGCGGTAAGCGAAAGGGAACGAAACACCAAGTAGTTGAAAACGGTGAGACGAGATTTTCATCCCTCAAAGCGTCCAAAGAAGTTGAGCATTGAAATGCGGGACACGAACTTAAAGTGCGAACCCCGAAAACACCGATGGTATTGTGCGGGTAATATAGGTAGAATAGAAAAATATGGAAAATGTGGATGGTCCGCATAAAGTAAGGCATTTCTCAGCAAATGAGCAACTTATACTTATTAAATTGCGACCTTAAACAATAACTACGAGTTAACTAGTCCTTAGACTTCCGGTAGCGATATCCCTAACATAACTGGCAAATGGAATAATATGCCATGTCGTCTTCACTATACAATCAATGTTTTTAATAATAAACTTTAGATAAGGATCATCACTACTTTATAAGTTAACCCGCGACATAATCTGATTTAATGCATTGTTTATAACTCTTTTGCTTATATCAGGTACTCGTTCGATCTTGAAAGTGTTTTATCCTTTCTGCGAAACTCTTAAGAATGACTGGGTCGCAAAGTTAAATTAGCTTGCACATAATGCATTTAGTTTGGTTTCCTGTAGATTCATTGAAGATATGTTAATTTCCTCCTCCGACACAGTTTGAGCACCTGAGACTCATTCAGCCTTATCACTCGTCTAGGACTCCGGCTGCGCTGGACAAGCAGAGATTCCTAATTTTCACCGCTTGTAAAATATTTATACTAAACTAGCCTGACCCCGCCACGCTTTGCTGTGGCTCAATCTGATGAATTGCGAAATAAGGGAATGAGGAAGGAGCACGTTCACATTTAAGAAAAATGTAAGGGCCACCGGTTGGCGGTACGTATTGTGTGCGAAACCCAGGATTGTCCTTCTAGCCGCTGTCGAAGGCAGGGCAATTTTTCGCTGCACCCAGTCGCGCTGGAGAATTCTGAAGTAAGTGGTGCCGGCTGCCTTTATTCACGTACCTACAAATGTACCTAATTCATTTCCCGAAATGGCAGTTTTCCACGTTTATGTGAGCTGCGTTTTAATTTTAAAAGCAAAGGCGAATACCAACCCGCACAGCGGTTACCGGATTTCTAAGTCACCGATTCGCATTCGTACGGTAGCCAACTTGCCGATGTCTTCCGCTGATCATTTTCGGTATAAGGGACTTCCGTCTATCATGCCAGGGGGGGGGGAGGAGGGGGGGATTGAAAAATTGGGATTCAGTGCATCCAAGGTCCATGTATCTTATTCTTCGCCACAACTTCATGCAAATCACTGTCGACGTCAATATCAGGTAATTCGGGGCATACTGCGTCGTCGATTTCGTTGGAAGCCATCTTGTTATAGAGCCAGATCAAGACATGTGCATGGGGCAGTCCCCTCTTTTTGCCGTTCCACCTAATACATCCAGCAGCGCACAGACCCAACCAGCTCGTGTTTCACCATGAAGTTCATCGGCGATTGCAGTTTCTTCCTGAAAACACGTGCTGTGATGTCATACCCATCCACCGACGATTACCCAGGAAATGAGAGCTATTAAATATCCCCAAAACTGGATTACATTGAAAGGTAATGAGTAGGTCTGGACGCCCCGTACTGACAAACGTAAGCAATTGCACCTCGAGCGTACTCGGACATATGGCGTGGACTCTCTGTGCATGTGGACGACAAAAGCGTTAGTCTTACAACGTTATCTGTATTACCGTCGTTTACAAATGCATCATGCAAAGGAATGTATCCTTCAGAGCGCAGCTTGGTCTGATTTAAGCGAATGAAAGCAGGCTTTCAGTTTCGATGTTTGCAAACATATCCACAATGCAGTGATAAAGCAATTTACGGCATTTCAAAAGGGGATTACTTACATTTGGTCGTATAGGAGTAGTTGTAGGTGTAGTGGTTCGCTGCGCTGAATTTCATGTGCGTTACCTCGTCACTGACTGGATTTATCATCTTAACGTTCAAGTGATATCCACCGGTACCATCCCGATAAGTAACTGGATGTTGCGTTGGAATCGGTCTCCGACTGCCGGTATATATGATATCCCCTCACCCTAAAATCGTTAACCTTAAGGCGGTTGTTGGCGTACCGTTGTTTACAACAGCATCAGACTGCGTGAATGCTGAGCACGGAGTCGTGTATGACGCTGGTCTTCTGTTCCGCGCTGGCGCCATTCGGCCACTCCCAGCTGGCTGTGTTCATCCTGTTGCTGAACGAAGCAGGCCTGAAGCTGCAGAACGCGGTAGCCGTGACCGCAACCGGGCTTCCGCAAGCCGAGCTGCACAATACTGAGCGGACACTGGGCGACAGCCCCATTATATGGGTTGCGCCGGGGAGGGGAGGGTCTGGTGTTAATTGCATCCAGTCCTCACCCCCGAGAATCCCCGAGGCGGCGGTGACGGCCCTATTATATGGAATGTGGGACACTTTTAAGTGGCGTCCCAGTGTTGTGTTTTTTGCTGCAGGGTGGGTGGTTTGCTCTGGCGGCCCATATTGCATCGGCCCAGAGAGGGTGGAGGGCCTGCTCAAGTGCCTGCAGGGTGGGTGGTGGGGTGAGCGCGGCTGTCAGGCGGAGCCCATGCGTTTGAGCGAATGTCGGTCAAGTGTCCGCTGTCTGGGCGCACATGTGTCCGCGCGGATGTAGGTCAAGTGGCCGCAGCAGGTGGTGTTATTATGCCGGAAAAAATCCGGTTTTTCACCCATCACAGGCATACCATCGGCATAATTACACAACTGAGCAGACAAAAACCCGGCCCTATGCGGGGGTCGGGTTGTGTTCAAATTTCAGCGAAATCGGTGCAGTACTTTCGGAGATTAGATATAACACAGCAAAAAAACCCTTCCATTTTTATATATATAGATTTGCAACAGAGACGTTGTCGATGGGCAGTATTTAAGACTTGACCAACTGAATGTGGTTCAATTCAGTTTAATATATCAGGGTAAATAGGCCTTCGTATTCGACCATTGTACTTACCACATAGAAAGCGAAATAATTACCAATAACATAATGAACGTACAGCGCCAAGTGGACGAACACCCAAATTTACACGAGAACAAGCCTTTTTAAGTGTAACAAATCTACCAGGCTGCTCGTTGCTGCTTTAAATGTTTTTGAACATATGGTGCATGCCATCTTAAAGTTTTACTGTCTACTGTGTTGGAATGGCCTGCAAACGAGGGGACGCTAATTTTCAGAATAAGCATGATTTTATAAACATTGTTGCGACGTCAGTAGTCTGATGGAAGTAATGGCTCCCTACATCGGCGTCTAACTAGCTTTGCGGCATGCCTTTGTATCCTGATGCTGTATGAAGGCCAGTTTCAGGTCCAACCCCATGTTAATTCCGAAAAACTAATATTTCTTTTTTTATAAAAGTTCCGTCGGGGTCCCATCAAATCAAGTAAATATAAATTTACATGCGAAGTTTATACGAGGCAGAGTCACAGCAATATCTGTCAAGTCAAACCATGCGAAAGGACCGGTGATTCTACCTTGTGCTGGGAAACGGATTGTCTTGCGTCACGGGCGTCTTTTACTTGTGCAAGAAATGGACAAGGGCCACAGAAAATGGTTATCTAGTAGATGCTATATTTTTTTACTTCAAGAAGACTTTTGATAGTATCCTGCACAGGCTTCTTTTACAAAAGATTATGGATGTAGGAATTCGAGGGAGAAAGTTTAAATGGATCGAGAGTTTCTTGTCCTCCAGAGTACAGAGATTTGTTGTTGGGGCCTCAACCTCGGAATGGGAAGAAGTAGAAAATGGCGTTTCGCAGGGTTTTGTTTTGGACCCACTACGTATTCTGATGTATATAAATGTTTGCGTCAACTATATAGACTGCGTGTGTTTCATGTTCGCGAATGAAGTTAAAATATGGAGCGAAGTCAAATGCAAAGATGAAACAAAGAAATTATAAGTGAAAATCGAAAAACTGAGTGTTCGGTCCAATAGATGGCTTTTAAAGTGGAATATTTCCAGATACTTGGTCCTACGCCTAGACGCCGGCCGCATTGCCTCTCCAAAATACGAGTACTAAATGAACGCGACAGTATAAGAGACTGTAGTAAGACACAGAGATCTCTGTGTATGAATAACCACAAGTCTAATGTCGCCAGAAATCTGCAAGAAAATGGTTCACAAGGCAACTTTTACTTAACACAAGGTTGGATATGTATTCAAAATATTTCCCGCGAACTCTTCGGACGACTTTTCAGCGCGACCGCACTCGGAATATGGAATGCCAGCAACTACATCGTGGATGAGAAAGGATATTGACCTGTTCAGACAGCTGCAACATAGAGCAACGAAAATGGTCGATTGTCTAAAGTTTTTGTCGTATCAGAAGAGGCTGAATATGCTTGGTTTATTTTGCCTATCTTATAGACAACTAAACTGCAGTTTAATATGGACATTCCGGATCGTCCGTGACCAAGGTTGGCCACTGAGACCGGAGGACCTTTCGAGTTTTCCAGCACAGACCAATTACACAGCGAACGCACGCGGCGAGACTGTGGGAACTTCTTGTTTAGCCAACTGGTTGTCCGATCATGAAACTCGCTCCCTAGTCAGATTGTGACGGCTGACACAATGTCCATGTTTTAAGGAAAATTTGCTTGCATGTTTTTTAGAAAAAGACGGGCTTTTGCAACATAACTACTCGCTGCTAGCGTCTTAAAATACTTTGTCATATACAATCTTTCCGTAATGACTCACAGGGAACAGAAGTGATTCCTTATTATCGATGTTGCAGCGTATTTCCATCACGTTCTTAATGTTCGCAACCTCATTTGGAGTGTGAATACGCGAAATCATTGTGAATAAATAAGGTCATCAAGGACTCTGGTTGTAACGCTTCAAATACGCACATACTAACTGCCAGCGTTATCTGCAAACAGTAAGAATGCGTTCAAGAGTTGATGACCATACAGAAGGTCATAGTTGTTGCTGTCAGTATCAAAAGAAAGGGAATAAAATCCCGTAACTCTCATCATCAAGATAAAATTATAAAACTCCAAACAATAAGTAAGTGTTTCCAGCAGAATAAGATCTTCATAACTAACTTCAGTTCGTTTTCTAGGGAATTCGCCTATTTTTGCATTAGCATCATGAAGATATTCGACCTAAGGGCTTGAGTCGAAGTCGTAATGATTCTCACGTAGTCTAAAGCGTAATCAGCACCCTAACTGCGATTGTTTAAAGTAAATAGCAAAGTGTTACTTTTAGCAGCATAAATGCTTTCTGGTTATCAGAAGCCTGGAAGGCCGTAAGTCCCCAAACTGTCGCTAATGGCATGTCCCAAGAATGTTAGCATAATCTCCACGTCTTGATAAATATCTTGCGCTTGTATGACTGTCAAATCCTTTTAGGCGCCAACTCGACCGTACTTAACTACTTGCCGCATGACTGTAAAACATACCTCGGCATTTCTCAAGGCCCAGGGTCGTTCCGCTCCCCAGTTTTCAGTGCGAAGCATTGTAATCACTTTAACACACAGCAATTGGTATGAACTCAGATCCGCTACGCAGGACATTGCATATATGGTGCAGAGCCTTCAATATACTTTGTAAAATTCCTAATATCAGGCTAACATAGTCAGCATGCGTTTCAAATTTACAAAAACAGCATCTAAGTTGTCCCTGTGGTAAGTTACTCGGCTTCGAACATATACTGTTAAATGTTATTGAGGATGATAAGCATTCGGTCTTCGTTTGCTACCTGTGGAGTAAATGGCACCTAGAACATGCAGGGGCGTACCTAAGGTTCAAATTCCATAAATCACTCCCTTCTAAAATGAAGTCTTCTATTACAACGGAAATGTTTTATACCATTAGCCAGGCTGCTATTTAAATGCTTCAAAATTTCGTCATGTGCTCTGGCCTATAACGTTACAGCTAACATTAGGGACGGTGGAGCTTTCGCTGTACCGAATGATATGCCTCGTTAAAGACAACTTATCTGTAGTAAGTGGTCAGAAAATAATCTGCACCCCTGAAAACGGTCTAAAAACTGCTTTCATTAATTCCGGTCGGTTTAAGTGAGGAGAATTCGCAGTCATAATGTTTTAAAATGGCCAGTGTGCATTTCCTGCAGTGTCTGATATAGCTTCTTGTAAAATACTTTGATCGATTCCTTTAAAATACAGTTATCAGTATATTTCCACTCGGATTCGCGCATTTGCTCAACTGTTGTGATTAATTTAAATTTAGGAATAGATAACGAAATTATTTATTATCCCTAAGGTACTGTCATAGCTAGTGCATATAAATTTTCGGGTGGATTTTGGAACAAGTAGGCAGACACTGTACAGTGTTCAGTTAACCCTTTAAAAATAGGCAGTCTGGTATGAAAAGCTATTAGCCAACAGTGAAAAACTTTTTTTTCGAAAAGTGCAGAACAAATTGATTCAAGAAGAAAAACTTGTCTCTCATTAAAAGGCAAATATGTGTGTCGGGCAAGACCCTCCCACAGTTGAAAGTATACAAGGATTCAAGACGGTTCTCGTCAAGGTGAGGCCCTTCGTTGCTCATGCGATTCTAAAATTTTTGGGTTGACGCAGACGCAGCCATCAAGGTGGTGAGACAGGATCGATCCAACGCGATCGGTCACAGTCGGCTTAGAGTCCGAGCAGTGAGAATTATGACTACTCAAGTAATCGGTATTTTCCCATTGATTCTCGTTGCTCTAGTAAATTTAAATCTACTTTATAAAAACCTATACAAAAATTTTGCTTCTTACACCTATTTGGTTGCAACTTACGTCTTCTCTAAATTTGATATAAGAAGAAAAGACATTTTTGGTTTTAAAAAAGTTTTTAAATTTCAGAATGATTCCGAGCTCTCTCTGCCGTCGCATTCGCGTCGAGGGCTATCAGTCTACTATCAGAATTGTTTCTGTGTAAGAAAAAAAGCACGCATTTCTCTGTGTTATTAAATAGGCATTATATAATGCTCATAAAATATTGCGATGGATGTGGAGTCTGTTGCATTCTTCACGAGAAACATTGCTAAGAAAACAGAAACAGTGCTATTTTGATGGACAATTCCCATATTAAGAAACTTTTTAAAATTAAAAGATACCCTTTCTTCGAGGATAAAACCTGAAAAAGACATAATTTAATACCAAATGAGTACAGGAATGAATATTTATGTGCCTGTCTTTTGAAACTTGTTTCTGAATTCACAGGGACCTTGAAAATCGATATAAAATGCGGTTTTTTAGGCGAGCGTAAAGATGCGCTTTCAAAGCCAACAGCCCGTTATACCTGAAATATCACGGCATTCTGCCGCAAAATAATCGATATTACAAAACCACTGAAATTATTCATTCCTAGACCAATACGAAATTCACAAGCTAGGTAAACATTTCATTTGAGCGGTCACTGATTGTGCTTGCTCGGTTCCAAAATAGATCTAAATCCTTAACCTTCGAGGGGTTTTTAAAGTATGTCATTGCTCCAACGCACACTCAAGCTAGAAGCCCATACACGTGTTTCTGTCTGTTCTTTTCTATCATATCTGTCTCATCAGAATGTTACCTGTCGGTTGCATGTTGTTTCTGATCAGTTCTCAGGTGTTCTGAATAAACTTCAAGCTCCACTTTGAAAACCGAAGTGTATGGCAGCAGCCACAGTGGGAAGTCTGGGAAGTCCTCCAGTGGACTGCATCTGCGCGATTGCGTCATGTAGCGACAGGAAAGTGATGAATACGTGTTTGAGTATTTGGTTAACATCTAAGTGGGGAAATTCACTTTAAAGCAATTACTATGTAAAAGTCTGCTCTCTTTAGATTCATAGGTATGGCTGGCAGACGACTATCATACTGAAACTGATGCACATTTCGGCTCAAACTTAAAAACCGAGTCTTGAGGACTTTCCTTCAAGTGCGTACACTCATCCTGAGCAAAGTCACAGGCTCCCATTTGAGTAAAGATTTTCTTCATCTGACAGCTATTAGTCTTCCCAGAGAACTGACAGTGTGAGCGAAAATAGAAAATTATTCTTCCGGTTAGCAAACGTAAGAGATCCGTGTCGGTAATCAGAGAAAAATGAAGTGGTTCACAGGATCAAGGGAGCTGTATTGCTGACGCCTCGGAGAGCTTGGCCGGCTCTCCATTATCAAAGCGTTTAGTGCAAGAATCGATCAGAACTTTGAATAGACAGCCGAATTAGTTGGCCTTGGGCTGATAGACTTTTTTCTCCTTTCCCTGCCTTGGCCCTCTAAGCGTCGTTTGTGAATGTGCGTGGCCTCCTGTGTTGTGTATCGTCACCTCAGTTGGGGTCAGTTGCGTTTGTGCCCCCCCTCCTTTGGCATAGCACGAATGGACAGGTTGAATGAGGGTCTAGGGACCGGCTGCCATTTGGGGATACACAGCAGATGGCCTGTCTCATAAAATGTTACCCAAAATTTTTAAGTTCGTTTTTGATCAGGAATAATTACTTGAGTGGGGTTGTAATATTGATTACCGTGCAGCATAATATCGAGACATCTCGGCTATGCAAGGGTTCCGGTTTTTAAATGACTTTCGGTAAGATGTGGTTTGGCAGCCCTACCTGATGAACACAATACTGTTGGATTTGGTGTTAAGGGTTAGGGTTAGGGGCTAGGGTTAGGAATTATGGTTGGGGGCTGTAGTTAGGGGTTAGGTTTACGAGTTAGAGTTGGGGGTTAGGGTTTAGGATTAGGGGCGTAGTTAGTGGTCAGGGTTAGGAGTTAGCGCAACCATTTCTCAACCATTCAAAGTACAACCGTGCATTCCGAATAGCTTTTCTGTAGCATACAACTACTTAACCTCGTCGCCTGTGCATTCCCCGGCTCCACCTGTAAAAACCCCTATTACCACCGGTCCCGTATTTAAGGTGACTGGGGTTTGTTTACTTCAGGTGGGGCAACATAAACACATCCGATCTGAATTTCTTTTCGGCCGTCCACAAACACCACATTCGGTATAACATGGCAAATTAAGTACAACGAATGCTTCTCAGTCAATTTCGACGCTCTTACAAAAAGAAACATATATTTTAAAAAACGCACAAAATATTCTCTCTTGTACTCCTTTGGCAGAAAATAGCGTCTTCTTAAAGTCTTCTTCCCGAAGAACATGTATCCTTAAGTCATAAAAACTTTTATAGTTCGAGTATAATTTTTATTCTGACCCGCCATTGCACGTTCGCTAAGGATTTTCCAAACCACGCGCTGCATATTTTCCGAGTAAGGAGAATCATACATTTGTCTACATTATTAAGAAAGTGTCATACAGGGCTCATTACATTTTTCAACAGGTCTGAACGGTGTTGAGCACTTCATATGCAGTATTCATTAACAGGCAGGGACGATACTCTATGAATCGACATGTAACGATCCTAAAAGTGTCATGAGTGCAGACCTTTTAAGACCGAATGATACGACTCCTTGGGTGCAAACCCTGGAGAAGACATAATTTGCCACCAAACGAGTATGAAGAAGATTTTTTAAATTTTTTTGAATTGGTAAGAGTAACGAAATCCAAACCCAATAAGTAGCATCTTTATTTTGAGTGTAGTTTTTGTAGGCGGTCGGAAAAAAGCTCATTCAGAAGCTAAAATCCTGGCCCTACCGAAATATCTTGTAACTATGTTACACAGTAATCAAAAATGCAACCCTGTCTAAAAGATTCCATCTAATAGAAAACACCTTTCCAAATCTCGTTTAAAATTTCACGAGATTTGTCAGCCATTGCATAATACGGAATTGATTATTCCATGGCTGGCAATAGGTGGAACTAAGCAAATAGACAGCGCCATCCTTGCCCATGCAGTGGATTCAGGGCATCCTGTGGACCCCGCTGAAGCATTTCGTGTAATTTATAAGGTCTCCTCGAGCTACCCTGGGCTACTGGGCTAGCGCCTGTTAGCAACAGCAGAAGCGGCCGCCATCAGTTTACGAAAACCGACCCTGTGAGCCCAGAAGCACCTCGTTCAGGCTCCGCGCTTACCGGGGTCAAAGGTGGACTAACCACATGCAACTTTCTGCGCCCTTCCACTCTTGCCTAGCCTGTATCTTAAAGATTAACTTCTATCGA